TAGAAATGGCCTGGAACACTGTTAAAACTTTCGCGCTAGATCTAATACTTCCCACACAATTTTAGTGTTCTAGTACATTTACTGTCAGATCTGGTAGTTTATTCTTTTCGAGTGATACAATAACAGCAAAATGAGAAAATTAGACACATGGCTTTATATCTCATCCTTAGAAATAGTAGTAGAAGAAAGAAATAGAAGTAGGAGAAAGTATTAGATAAGCTAAATTAGTTTTAATTAGCTGCTATATAAACTCCCTCAGCTGAGATACATTTTGTTTCTTAACATTTGCCAACCAGAAGTACTAAAAAGCTGTATTCTGCCTCCCTCATTCATCAATAGCGATTGAAAGACTATTTCTTGCAGCGAAAATGGATACGATTAAAATAAGAAATCAAATGAAAATTTCCTTGAATCATAACAGCTCTTAACAAAAGTAAAATTTAATAAGCTTGTTTTAAGCTTATAAGAACTTAGTTGATTAATATAGAAGAAATATATAAGCAATCAGCATATGAAATAATTACACGTAAATAGAAAAATCAAACAATTAAAAGAGTAAGCTGTATAAACACATTTGTTAGACATATATTTAGCTACAAGGGTTGGACCAGAACATGGAAACACAGAAATAAAAAAACATATTACTTTGAATAATACGGTAAAGGAAAACCGTCGGCATTCAAAACAGCTTTCAGTCTTCTCATAATGGATAAATAGAGGTCTTGTATGTTTTACAAGGGAATCTTGTACCATTCTTCCTGTAAAACGGTGGCAAATTCAGTTAATGAGCCCACAAATGCTCAATAATATTTATATCTGGTGACTGTGGTCACCATGGTAAATGTGATATTTCACCCTCATGCTTAGATAACCAGTCCTGGACAATTTGTGACGTAAGCTGAGTGAACAGATGCTCTGTCGTCTTGAAATACGGCATCGCTACTGGGAAACAAAATTTGTACCATGGGATGGAGGTGATCAGTCAAAATGGTCACATAATCCTTGGCAGTAATGTGACTTTTGCACAGTAATAATGTGTCCCATGGAATAACACGATATGGTTACCCAAACAATCTCTATCAAACAAACACATCAGCGCCAGCAACAGCTTTTGCAAGAATAAACATTTCAGTTCAACACATACCTTTTACGAGGTGTTTCCATAATTTTGCTCATCCTCTGTATTTTCCGTTGATTTGTCTACGGTAATAAGAGAATAATATCCTTAAAGATCCCAAAGAATGTGAAATAAAAGCAAATGTAAATTTAGCAGTTTTCATTTAGATCTAGTATCTTTTCTTTGCATAAATTAACATAAAATATTTTTCTTGGGTGGTCATCTTGGCTCAGATAATTCTCTGAAGGTCATATCAAAACATTATCTTTGAAAAATCATATGATATTTTTATTTGAAGCATATAATTGAAAATTGAATTCATTAAATCTTACCGAAACATTTTCTAATTATTCTCTCTTTTTCCATACCTGAAAGAAAGAAGACATTTCGCTTATGACAAAAAGAAATAGAATAATGAGAAGCTTTCTACAGCCAATGAACTTTGATATAGAACAGCCACATGCATTGCTATGCTGATTCCGATTATTCATAATTTGGTTCTTAGTTATGGGCAACAAAGGGTATATAATCCTTTGTTTGCATAGTGAAGCAATGCATTTATATGTAATCATTCCCTATTAAAATTCATTAAATTACATTTTCAAACCTTTAAATTACTAGAGACATATTTCGTTAGTTTTTTTACATAACCGTATTTATGTTCTTACGAAAATTAGGATATCATATGTCACTCGTATTAGTTAAATAACTACAATCCATAAAATCGCGAAGTGGTTATATTGATATTGTTATTCAATATATATACAACAAATGTGTGTATGCGTGAAATGAATTCGTCCTTTTTGATAAAGTCCTATCTTGTTGAAGCAAACGTTTTTCATTATTATCGTAAACTTATAATTCAAAAACCACAGTGTACTATTTTGTACTACAGTGTACGGATACTATTTTGTAAACAGGTTCTGGCCGGCTGCAATTAAACAAATTACACCTTTGAGTGTTTAAATGAAGCTTTTAAGTGAAAACTACTGTTAATAATATTTTTCCATTAAGATAATATACTTTCATTCTGATGTACAGTTTTTTTCTGCACCAACATTAATATTGCTTGCGTTTAGTTTTTCTTTCGAATTCGCACGACACATTAAAATATTCGTCAGATCTAATGTCTATAAACAGAAATAGAATTAAAAATTAAAGAGTGCTACATGCATTCAGTTTTATTCACTAGAGATAAGAAAACTCTCATAAGCTTGCGTTTACTTTGTAGAGACATTAGATTAATTGGAAAATTCGGAGAGATGAAATTTAGCAACCGCCTTCGCCGGGAATCGAACCACGGATCTCTGGAATACCGGCCCAGCGTGCAGAACCACTACACCATGAAGGCACGCTAGGAAAGCGGGAGATATACCTTTTATCTTTACAACTGCAGTTAGGTAAACATGTGATTCTAAAAAAATTAATGTTAGCCATCGTCTTAGAATTTCTGTGATTCTAAAAAAATTAATGTTAGCCATCGTCTTAGAATTTCCATTACCTTTTAGAAGCAAGGAAAAAAAGCAGTCGCGAGAGCAATCCTGTAGTTTCTTTTAAGTGCAGGCTTTGGATGCTACTACGCAGTGTTTGTTAATGACCGGAATATGATTTGGTATTCAGGTTTAATACTTAAGCGATTTCATGTTTTTTTGTGTATGCTTGAAGATTCTCTACTATATTTAAATAAAAATTATCGAAAGTCAGGTTTCCTTTACAGTTTTGGGGATCCGAAGCTTTAAGAAGTTTTATCATTCAATCAGTTTCGAAAAATTTTACGTTCCTCCCGCTCAGCGGAACGACAGTGAGAAAGCTAGAATCAGAAAAAATTTAAATTTTAGTTCCTAAATTAACTTTTAAGCTATTAATTAGCGGAAATCAACTTTAATACAAGGAGCTACTTTTCGAACCTCCGTGATGGTTTGTAAAAAAGATGTTTTTAAAAGCTGTTACTTAGCTCAACAGTGGTGTTTGTTGCTATTGTCAAAAGTTTGTCACTGATTTTTAAATTGCTTCCTGATAAGCTATCGCATTTAAAAGTTTGCATACACACATTTTGTGAATGAAAATACAAGGTTTTTTTTTAATTCGATTTAAAGTTTTCAATGTAATGTTGAAGCGATTATTTTTTGCATATGGCTTCGTTTTACGAATAAACTAAAATTCTCAAAATTTTACTGTTTGCACCATCAGAGAAAACAGAAAATCTTTTAAATGAAATTTTCAACATTATTTCTGATTTTTTTGGGGTGACGTTTCGAAAATCGCTCAGTGTTCAATGTTTAATGTTCATTATTTAAAATTTTGATGAATTATAAAACAAATCCTTCGCTTCCTTTTAAAAAAGGTATTACTTCTGAAGCTTTTGCAAATTTTCGAAAAATCACTAGATTGTTTTGACTATTTTTTGTAACAAAGTTGTTGTAAGCAAAAGATTTTTTCTTGTTGGAAAACGATTTTTCAGTGTAATAACATTATTGATAAAGTATGTTTGAAGCTAAAAAGTTGTAATTTAAAGAATCAAAATTATTTTCTAAAAAATAAGCTTCTATTTAAAGTTCAAAATAGCTAATGAACTAAAAGGAGAAAAATAATTTATCATAAAGTTTTATGAGAAAAAGAGATCAAAGAATTCACTTTACAACATACATCTATAATTTTTTATCACTAGTAATGAAAGCTTGGGTGCCTAAACAGTAAACGCTCAAATTACTCATGATGTGAATTGATAGATGAATTTGACACAGAGAATTATTTAATCTTTTGTTCCCATAAAATTATGTGATACATTTTTTCGTTGTTTATAGGAACGGTGAAAATTCGCGATTTTGAAGCACGAATTTAATTTAATGTATCTGAATTAATAGCGCGGTTTTGTTGGCAGAAATTTCTTTTTATTTTCGAAAACCACCTCTACGTTTAATATCACACATTTTAATCTAAGGTATCGAATTTCATTCAAATACTTTTTCAGTTGTCGCTTATTTTTTAAGAAATTGTGCACTTTGTTGAAATACGCGTTCGTCTTCGTTACTTAAAATCTGCAAAAGAACTATATTAGTCCAAAGGCGTAATTTACCCAGAGGGACTATTAATTTCGTTTTCGCATTTTGCGTCGATTCAATACAAGCGTAGTTTCACTTTTCAAATTGTTACCATCAAATATTATTGCCCTGTATTATATTTAAAGAAATTAAATGATGAAGAAACTGCATAAATGTAGGTATGTTTCTCGCATTGTGATAAAACCACGGTACCTAGAACCATCAAATTTTGAATAACGTAATCTTCCTGCGAATGTGAGCATCTGGTAGGCCTAATTTGGAATTTAGAAATTGTTTTATTATCGATTTCCTATTTTGTAAAACTTTAACGAATTTTGATTAACAAACTCAAGGATTTCAAAGCGAGTCATGGCAACGTTGTAATAGAAAAAACATTTTTATCTCCAGCGCGCGAGACTGTGTATCGGAAATTCTAAAGGTATGCTCATCTTAAAATTATTGTGCGATATTGCTCTTGAACTTAATTTTATGGTTTAAGTGCGAAGAACGTCGTATTTAATAAATGATGGTAACACACAAAATGTTAAAAAAATGGCCCTTTGGACGTAATTTAAAATCTGAAACCTTTCAGATTTTTTCCCCCTCTTTTTAACGTTATTTGTATTTCTGTAACAATTTTTTTAATGTTGTTCTTCACACTGTTTCGTGGGACTATGAGTATTTCTGTTGTCGAATTTCTCAGTCTAAATAATCGTCAATATTATATTCCCTTATCAAAAATGGTGAAGATTAAAAATGATAGCATAGAAAATAGAAAAATAAATGGATTAATGAAACGTATTTTCTTTTCGCATTTTATTACATATATTTAGCTACAAAACTTGCTATAAATAAACTGTGACAAATAAAATATAAATACCCATTTTTAATCTCTCATAAATGGCAATTTTCGAATTAATTAAAAATTATGAAAGATTACTTATTTCTATCACAAAGTAATGAACTGTAAAAATATATAGGAAAACTTGAAATTGGTTTAAACTAATTTTAAAGCAATCTAGCAAATAAATTTCTTTAACTACGTCCTTTTTCTTTAAAACTGCATACATATATTTTAATCAATTATTAAAATTAAAATATATTTATATATAAAAATCCACATTAACTAGAAATAGAGCAGATTAAACACGTAAAGAAAAAAACGCAATGCTCACTTTAAAATGAATTCACTAGCCAATAGTTATAGAAGAATATGCTATTTTGTGATTAATGTAAAATTTAACATTTTATTAAAACTTCAATTAGAAGACAATAAATAGTATTAAAAAAATTTACTTCGATTAGAATGATTACCCTTTCAAACACATCAAAAATTCATTGAAAACAATTTTTTATTTTTAAAAAATATTTCTGCATTTCAGATTTTTCTCACTTATCATTTAAATCAAGGATAATATCTAATTATTATTGCTTTGCTATTTTAAAAGTTTTGCCATTCTTTCCTGTTAAATAACCAATGAAAAAATGTGGATTATGTAAATAGGAAAAAAATTAAAAAATTCATATTATCTAAACAACAGGTAAAAAATAAATTAAGAAAACAAAAGATAGCATAACTGCAGAGTTAGTAGCTTTGGCCATCCCACAGGTTCCTTTGCAGTGGAGCAAACGATATTCACAGGTCTGTTGTTTTTTAAAATGAGTCATTTTAAATTAAAATAGATCCAGTTTTAGAATATCGATGCAACGCGAATTAGTATCATCCTGGTGGCTTTGGTTGAAGAATACGATTAGTTCTAGGAGCCCCTGACTCAGGCATACGATTAGACCCTGAAACCCCAACTTGAGGTATACCATTAGGCGCTACAGTCACAGGTTGAGGGTATGTTGATGTATAATCCCAATTATTGTCAACATAATGGCAGAAGTATTCGTTGCATTTTCCAGAATTGGTTCTTCCGTGCATGGCAGCTGCTTTAAGCCGTCTCTTGAATGGCTTTGGTATAAATTCGTTGTTCAGCATGTGACCTAAAAGGCTTTGGGAAAAACAGATTTTAATTTTACATGAATTTTAAAAGTTCTGAAATATATATTGGAAAACAAAGAAAATATATTGAAAATTTCTCTAAGAATTATAACTGTCTAATTATATTGATAGTTTCTTATACGTATTTGTGAATTTATAATCAGATTAATTAGAACAAAGTAGATAAAATAAGTCTGAAATAAAAAGAGAAATAATAAGCTAAACATCAGCATTTCTTATATAAGTTTTTAAGCAGTTTCCTATACAGAAATATACATTAAATGACATTTAAATGTAGGAAAAGTATAACTTTTCATGACTAAATAAAATGTGTAACTTTAACCAGTTCTTTAACCAGAGGCGTAGCTAGGTTTTTCAGTGCCTGGGGGCAAGTGAAGATTTCGCTCGCGCTCTTATTTGCTGGAAAAGGAAATTTTCAAGCAAGAATATAAAAATTTGGAGTTAGAAACTGGAGTCTTAAAATCCAAAGTATCAGATAAAAATTTCTGAAATATAGTTGGAAGGAAGGCTTTCATCCTTGAAAAGAGCATCATACAAGACAAAATCATTTTTGGTTCCACATATTTGCGCGAATCTTTGATCGCGCAAATATGTTGCTTTCAATTAAGAATATCACAAAGTCCAGATTTATACTTCTCGAAGAGTATCTTGATGATTGCTTATGAGCAGGAATACCATCATAACCGCCCTACTTATGAAGAAGTGGCCAATGAAATGTAAAGCCGAATTACATTGATTTTAAGAATTGCAAATTTATAAAGAATTTTTATATCAACGAATTGTAAAAAAAAGAATTTGTGAACTTTTATCTGCATTATTTGGCAATTATTTTATATACGAATATAATTTATTTTTATATTCTAAAATTACACTTTTGGAATAATGTTTTGCATAATATTATGTGTATTATTTATTAACTGTGCAAATCTGTAAGTTTACCTTGAAAAAATAAATGTGCCTGTTGCGCTACCAGTATTCTTGAATGTGCTCTAAGATGTAAAATGGTTGGGGATCTCTGGTTTAACATAAGCGGGAGAAAGCTTCTAGTAGATCTTGCAGGGTTCGTTTTGAAAAAAAAAAAAAAAAAAAAAAAAAAAAAAAAATGGCCGCTTACTTTAAACGCTAGACTTCAATTTAAACTAATTCTGGCTTAAAGCAAAGGAAATAATGAAAAAATAACTAGTAAAACGATTAATCTTTTTACTGAATCTTTTTTTACTAACTATTTTTTTCATTACTTCATTTGCTTTAAGCCAGAATTAGTTTGGACTGTCCAGGCTCTTTGTTATGTGGGGAAGGATGATTTTTCTTCACCTTACCTCTAAATGGAAAATCGTAGCCTTTCTCTTCCACTTTTGCTAATCACATGATAAAAAAAAAAAAAAAAAAAAAAAAAAGAGGAAAAAGATATCCTTCCTTACGATGATGGGATTAGGGGCTGAATATTAGAATGTTTTTCATTTATGTTTCATTGCATTTAAGAATGGAAAACATTTCATTCTAAAATTTCGTAACAACAGACAGTTTTGCGCCCGCTGGATGTTTTACCCAGCGACAGATTCCCTTCCACTACGCCACTGAGTTTAACTAACCATGTGATTCGTTAGGATAATAAATTTATGAATTAAATTGATAAATATAAATGATTTATAAAACATAGTACAAAATGTGCTTACATAGACGTTACAGTTCTCTCAAGTTCTGGCGCATTTTCGTTGGCGGGATCTCCGAATTCACACGACAGCCTTTCCAAGCAGTGGTCTTCTGTACTCAGCAACCCATTGCATTGTAGGTAATTAACCATCACACGGGATTGCTGTTTTTCATTATAATCAACCTGCAAGAAAGTAAAACACGTGACCTTTCCTTCGTAGGCTGTAATACAAACTGTTTTGCAGACCACCAAGGTGAGTCGAAGCAACAAATTATGCAGGAAGGAACATTTTAACATTTTATAGGCAGTTATTTTTGTAAATAATGTTCGTACACTTTTTGAAGTAATCTTATGCAACAAAACAATTAATTGTAACACAAATATTACTTTTGTAACTAGTCAGTTTTATGTGCATCTATTTCTGTTAATTATTGAGCTGTATCTTGATTTACATAACAAAATGGCGTTTTTAAATTTAACACGTGGATTATACCCCACTAGTCTTTAGTTGCTTTAACCTGCCAGTTGTTCTTGGTTGACGTCTAAGAAATGTTCTTTTTAAGAGATCAAAAGTACAGCAGTCCGTTAGTGCTGCAACATGAATTTTCCCTGAAATATTTGAAAATTATGTACATTATACTAATACTTCTTTTTATTTTTATTTGTTTTCTTTTATTTGTTATATTTATTTATTGATTGATTTTATATTATTCTTTATTTAATTATACGTTTGCACGTTTAATTTCTTACCTTAGTTTATTTTTATTTTTATTGATTTATTGTGTCGAATGTTGAAGTGTGAATCGTGACTTTCTCCCTGAAGAAGTTAATTTTATTTACGTTGTGTCAATAAAGAAGTGGATTTTCTGTAGAGGGTTAAAATAATGGTTTAATAATATTTAATAATTTTTTTGTAATATATTTTACATATTTGCTAACAGTTACAAGTACTTGAGTCAGCCTTTCCTATACTTTCTTATTTTCCTACCTACGCCTTCCTACCATAATGAGTTTTCAGTTTCCCGCTTTATATAATATAGGGGAGAAAATACTATTTAAGCTGAGGTCTGACGTACTTAAGACAGAGAGACCGTGTTCTGCTCTCCGGCCACGTTGTTACTACGAGTTAAAGTTTGCTAGTTTGCAGGCCGTGTTTATTACGTGCTTGTTAGTCTACACCAGTGATTTTTAGATGAGAGCCCAACTACGCGATAACAACTCTGCAGCTTAGGCTGTTTAGTTTACTTAGCTTTAGTTCAATTTTACATTTTCTCTTTGGTTAATCGTAAAATCAAGTTCAAGCCAAAAATGTTGGCTTCGTGTACATCTAAGAGGGACCATCTTGAGTTCAAATAGAAGGATATTTAAAACCCTTCTTCGGAGTTTTCTACTAGGTTCTAACAGTTAAAGGACTTTATTTCAGCTAAAACATTACACTATATAGAAATAATATTTATATTTCTTTCGAATATCCTTAATTTTAGTTTTCCGTTGAGAGTAAAGTGAGCTACAGTCATAAATGCTTTACTAAAACTTAGTTTAAACTTTCGAAACCACGCATCAAGTCTTTCTGTATACTTTTACGATAGTGAATTCGCCGCCTTTTATTAAGACCATTAGTTATTATGTATCAATGGTCATAAAATATGTAATTTTCATTCCCAGGTGGAGCAGGTATTTTGAAAATAGGTCACTGAGTTGATCAGTTGTCATAGATTTAGTTTTTAAAATGGTCTTTGAAGTAACACTTTTACTGGATAATCATTTGGCGTTCCCCTTTTGAAAGTATTCTCTTGAAAACAGTGATCGTCCATCTTCATAGCCTGTAGAATAAATGTTATTTATTATACCCGTCTATGTTTTTAATTGAAGATAAATACCTATTTTCTCTCAACTGAAAAATATTAATAATTAATTACATAAAGGGCAAACACATAGCTTTCTTTCTAAAATTTAATTACATTGACTTTTTGAGCTTATACAAATTTTGACATCAACACATAATAATTATCCTTCAATGTAAAACTGTTACTAATTAACTGTTAATTCTTTATTAATTTCAGTTACTTTATTACTTTACGTAACAAAATAATTAGAATGTTTGTTGAAAATCTCTGCATTTTTCAAAGTGAGGATCTTTTAGCCTTTTAACCCTAAACTTTAAAGAGAAAAATTAATTATATTACAGGAATGATGAACTTCTATATGTAGCAGCAGGGTTTTTAGGCTAAATATAAAAATAGGATTAATATGTTAACAAAACATAGAATTTGCGAAATTGCTTATACAGATACCTTTCGCTTTGCGAAAATTCCCTTTAAGAAAATTCTCTTATTCTTTTGCAATATTATTGCCTTTAGTTAAGGGAAGAAATCTCAAGAGGATTTAGGATTATATGTATATATATTTAAAAATGAAACGTAAAAATACAATGTTGTTAGTGTGCCCCGCCTTAACGAAAAAATAAATGATGTTAATTTACTAACAGGCACACTGCTTTGAGAAAGAAATATGCCATTTTCAGTAGTTATGTCAAATGTGAAGCCTTTCACACAAGCCAGAGATGACAAGTGTTAACTTTCAACACTAGTACAAGAACTTAGAGAAATTACAAAATCATTAGGTTTGTTTGATGCTGAAGATGTGAAAAAGGAGCAATGCCTTCGCCGGGACTCGAACCTGAACCTCTCGAATAAACTCTGAGTGTGCTACCGTTACACTACAAAAGCATGTAGAAAGGAGGGAGAAAATACCTTATATACTTCTACTTTAAAGGGCGACTGGGGATTAAGGGGAAAATCGTCAAATTATGGTGCTGAAGAATCATCACTCAAATCTGGACCTCTCGAATACGCGCCAAGTGTACTACCGTGCCTACTATGAGAAACATTCAAAAAAGAAAACTTTCTTAAAGAAGTCTTAGAACTGTTGTGAAACGTTTGAAAGGCCTAGCACTTTGGGGTAATAAAATTAAGTCTGGAAAGTTTGAGATTATTGTTCCTCAATTATGGGATCAAACATACAGCCATATTTCTGACTCAACGCCGATAAATATTTCTTTATTCATATTAAATTACCTTAATCTGTAACTGAATTATCATAAATATTTTTAAAACCTTATCTTATCAATCGTGTTATCCAGTTAATAATCTTCAGAATATTTTATTTCATATTTTATTCAAAAAAGAATCTTTTGAGTCCTTTAACCTGAGGCTTTCAGACATTTTATACAAATAGCCTAATTATGGCTGATTATTAACACAGGTTTTCAGCTAACCCATTAAAATTGAATTATGACTTTTTCGATTTTGCGGTTTCTGCATTCTACTGTCTACAGATAACTTTATAACAACTCATTCCTAAAACAAACTTCACGAATTAAAAAAAAAAAAAAAAAAATATTTACCTGATGCAAATAACTAGCTACTATTTCCAGTTCCTTCATTCTAGTTGATTTATCTGGAGGCACAGGCCGAGGACCTTCAGCTGCGTCTGCCCTTCTGCGTTTCCTGCGACGTCCCCATGTAGGAGGTCTAGGTCTGTTAAAGAAAGGATTGGAAAGGGGCGATCCAGTGAGCATTGTCGTCGTCATTGTCTGTCCAACAGGTACAACCACCGGAAACGAGAAGATGATGCTAAGAAGAGGAGCAAGAAGTAATGGCAATCCAGCAGCCAGTAATCGAGCAGCTTGCCTGCGCCCGCTGTTGGGTTTCGGTCGATAACCGTAGAAATACTGACCACGGTATTCCCAGGTTTCTGGTCGTACGTTCCTTCCTCTGTCAGTAGCTGTTGAAAATAAATAATTTGTTATGTCTATTTTGTTTGCTTTTCAGAAGTTTACTATGACAGATGGTCATATACAGTATGGGGAAAAAATGGCACAGTAAATGTTCATAAAACTTAAATTCCTTCTGAGCAGACATTCATCTTTGAATGTGGCCCGAAAACAAAATGTATTAGAGATTTTAGGCTTATCATAACTTATGCTTCGTCTACCTGGTGTACCTAATCTGATAAAGATTCTACAAAATAAAACCCTTAGGAGGATTATTAAAGTATCTTGATAAATCAGAAATAAAAAGATTTATTTTATTATTTACTTATTATTATTTATGATTTTATGATAAGAAAGATTTTAGATAAATGCACTTTTCAGAAAACTTTCATTATGAAATATTAAATATGAACTATTAGTTTAGATCTTGTGCAACTGATTTCCTGATAACTTCACATTGCAATTTTGGTTCTTCCATCTTCGTACATCCTTAAGATACCTGGTATTGTGTCTCTGTCTTCTTTCATCTGCTCACGAGGCAAAAACCTCTCTTTTTTCGCCCCGTAATATTTTAAATCTTGTGATTTATCAGTAAGATACTTAAATTTTCGGTACAGAAAAAGATGAATTGTAGTGTTTGACTTCTGCATAGCAGCAACATAAAAAATCTAAAATAAATAAATAGCTTTGCCATAAAAGCACTTTCACAGCCAATTTATGTAATAAACAATTTCACTGCGGCAAAAATTTTATATTGTTGAAAAAAAAAATAGGATTATTATTAAAAGAAAAGATAGTTCTCCGCTTAATGTATAAAATCTAAAGCCGCAATTAATAAGTATTTAACAACTGATAATAATTTTAAAATTAATTACACTGAGATATCTTTATTTCTCGCAATTAAAACCTTTTGTAAGCTATTTACAGAGGTTCCGATATAATGTTTCTTAAAAGAGTAAAATTCGATGTATGTATTTCAGTCAAAGACGATTTATCAGATGATATGAAATTTATAATAATTGGAATTAAAGCAAAGAAACTTTTCTATGGCAGACATCTAAATCTTAATTTCAAGCGAAATTATAACTTTTCTTATAACAAATCTGCTTATGATCACGCTTATTAACAATGTAGTTGATAGCGAATCCAAGAACGAGTCCATAAAAAATCGTTATGCTTTTAGTTTAAAGTTATTTACTGCGATACCGAAGGCCTCGGGTTCGAATCCCGCAGAAAGTATGGTTGTAACTTTCCGTCCCTTCATAAGAGGTAACAGCGGCCACCGTAGCTACCTGTTAGGTGCCTCCACAATAAAATGGCTACTACTTTCGGCTTTATGAGTGGCCAATGTCGAAAAAGTCACAATAATGTGCCCGCCTTTCCCCCCCAAAAAAAATGTTTAAAGTTATTTACATTTAAATGATTAAACAATTATTTGTAATAATCTATGTGAAATGCGTTTTGATTCCTTTTCATTGTTATTTTAATATGTAGAATATAAATTAACAATCGGTCGTCTCTTTATACTGTAGAGCAGCGGTTCTCAAGCTTTCGACTAACGCGTACCATCTAAATAAAATCTGAAAAACTTAAGTACCACCGCTACATTTTGCAATGATTATTTTTCAGTTTCTCAATAAAAATATTATAAATAAATATATTTTGCCATTTGCACAACCTATTGGCTATTTGTATTAAATAAACATACGTAAAAAATATATTAGATTAAAAATGGGTTACCATTTTTATTATCAAAATTTAAGTTATAATACTTTAATTCTAAAATTGAGTGCGAAATTTAGCTCTGTTTAAGAGAGACAAATTTCTTTGTGTCTGGTCTTATTTCAGTTAGTTTTAACAGGAAATTAGGATCCACTTTTAATTTTGTTCTGCATTTAATTTTTAAATATAACATGGAAGAAAATCCTTGTTTACAGAAATAGGTTGTGCAAAAAGGAAATAAAAATTTAATAGCTTTATTCTAAATGCCTAAATTTTTTTTTGATTCAGATAGAAGTTAACAAGTGTATTAATTTTGAAATCTTCAGTTCGAGTTCGATCACAAGAAATTTCTATCAATTTTTCTTTTTCTTCATGAGATTTTTGGATTTAATAGAAAAATACTTTTTCTTTGCGTATCGGCAGTAGAACGCGTACCACGGATTGAGAACCCCTGCTATAGAGTATTCATTTATTTTTATTAAGGACTTATTTTATGTTAATTAGCTTTTCTATTTTTTGGTTTCCCATTTTCCTGGCAGAATGTTAATTTCCAGTTTACTCATATTAGATGAGGTAGACAAGAGATAGCATTTAAAAGGAGGCTTTAAATACTATTTCTTTTCGATATATTATCGATGGTATAATTAGAGCTTGTTCCACTTGCCGAAAGACACGTTTGCTATTTGATTCTCTTAGAAGCAATTTATCTGTGGCGTAGCATTATTCTCGTCATGAAGTTTGTCACGCCGACATTAGGATTTTAAGTCAACTTGCGCGTATTTTGTCTATGTAGCTTTTTCTGCTAGTTTACGATTACATTAGTTAAACTTTATTTCATTAAGTTTTGATTTACACCATAAATGCTGGCTGGTTCTGTAAGCAAGATCAGTACCGTCTGTTAACTTTTATCTGAGTTAAATAAAAGGATCATTTACACCTTATTGTAATTTCCAAGACGTAGTGTCGCTTACGTCTTTTCGAAGTTCTCATCTGGTTTACGTTCACCTGGTTTATGTTCTCATCTGATTCATGTTCTCCTCTGGTTTATGTGCAGAGTTCTCATCTGGTTTATGAGATCCTATAATGTCATTTTAAAGTAAAAGTTTTTGTACATGAAAAGTGTGATATTTAAAATTCGGAATTTTCTAGTAACACTGGAGATATATTGTTTAGCAATATAACTATGCACTTTTATGAACACTTGCCTGTCAGTAACTAAATAAAAGTAATTATTTAGCAGTCCAAAAGAATGAATCTAAGTGAATCTTAGCAGCAATCATCTCTTAATTTCAAGAGAAGTTTTGAGAAGAACAAAAGATAAACTCAAATATAGAAAGGTTTCTTTAAATCATTATTCAAGATTCAAAAGTATTAATATAAAAATAGAAGAAGTTCATTGTGTTTACACATATACTTTCAATTACGCTGTTTCTCAGAATGAAGTTTTTTAAAAAAATCTAATGTTGTGAATGGAAAGGTTACGAAAATACGAAAATACAAATACCAAATATTTTATTTACAAAGAGAAGCAAATATATATGTTATAAGGTATTATCTGCCTCCTTCCAGTATGCCTTCATGGTGCAATCGTAGCGCGTATTTGAGAGGACCAAGGTTCGAGTCCCGGTGAAAGCACTGCTCATGTTTCATATCTCCAGCATCAAAAAGTCTAAAGACTCTACAAGGTAAAGATACTGAACAGTTTTTAGAATAAAATTGGCACTGAATTATACAGTGGAGATCTTTTTTACTTTAACCCTGATTCCTGATATACCAAAGCGCTCAATACTGCAATTAGGACTTTGTTTTGTAACACTGTGCGGTATTATGAATTACAAAATGCAACAGCCATGTGGGGAGAAATATAGCTCTCCCTGCCGTACAACGGTTCTATTAATACTCAACAATTTAAACAGAAAATATTGTATGCCGAAATTGTTAAAATTAATTTGCTGACATTTGAAGTAGCTGTAACGTGAAGCTTAAATTCATTTCTTTGCTTTGTTGCTTTTTTACAATGCATTTAAATACTATCTAATAATATGAAATGCATCTGTATTGATAAAGACGAAATAAGTCCTTTGAGTTAGATTCAAAGCGTCAAAGGAAATGGAAAATAATCAGATACGCCTGTAAACAACATTTTGTGAAATTATAATCCATTGTTCTTAGTTAATTATAAAACAAATACCAATTATGATTTTCAGAATTGTTTCTTAAGACATGCTTTGAATTATGTATATATTTTAAATTTCGGATAAACAATAGTTATAGAATCGTTTTTGCAATATTCAAAGAAAAATCTAAATTTTGTTTCACATATGATCATGTTACTATTATAAGCTATTCAGAATATCTTAAAGATATTATGAATTAGTATATATCTTGTAGATGAGCATATAAATGTACAAATATATAATTTTTTTCTGAATAAATGTAATAAGTCAGTACTGACATATAGCGAATAAAGAAACACTCAGCTTAGAAATCAGGTTTCAGATACTCCCATTAAGAGTTGCATCCCTTATAAAGAGAAAGAGTCTGTGAATGTATTTATAATCAACATTACCATAATCAGTGTCATGTTGATTGACATTATTTAACAAAAGTACAGTAGTTTTTTATTGATTTGAAATAATGATTCTATAAGGTGTATTCTGTAAGGTGAAACATTAACCCTACAACCTTACTAGACAGGGAGGAAGTAAATATATGTCTGAAAATAGTATAACAGAGGTTGCAAAGGTTTAAGGAGATTTTTATTAAACTGAACTTTTAATAAAACAGGATACAGCTCGTGCTACAAATTACCATCATTTTCGGAGATACAAATAAAATAATAACAGTCAAATAAATTTAAACGTTTATCAGCAGGTTCCACAGTTAAATAACTAGGCTACAACCTGTTCAATTAATTTACCGAAGCGTAAGTATCGGTTGCGAGGGAGCGCAAGGCTGAGATAATTACATTTGCCTAGAATTCTACCTAGAATGTTACGCGATAATCAGAAACTCTCTCTCGTGATCCAAAACCCTCAGCTTAAATACACTATAGCATAATTTGCATTCTGTTGAGGAATACGGAAAGAAGTAATTAAGGTAAAGATCAAAATCATAATAACTGGTTAGTTTAACACACTTATTGAAGAGGAAGACCAAGCACAAAATATGGATTCTTTTTTTTCTGCCACAAATTAGATGATATGAACTTGAGAAAAATAATCGAATAATACGCTGCTGGAATTAAAAGAAATTATTACCTCCCCGCCAAGTAGGATAATCACAGTTT